TCTATCTCCGCGGCTCTGTCAAGCGTCTGTGGCTGCTCTGATCCTTCCCCTGCTTGGCCCCACACAAGATGGCGGCTCCTGGAGCAGCTGAGCATCTGGAACCAGGAAGCAATGGATTTCTTGCTTCTGCCACAAACTCCCCCAGCTGTAAGCCTTCTAACCTTCTAAATATTCCTTTATATGTGGTTCAGAGTTCTGGGACCATCCCCTGAGCCGGCTTGGTTCTGTATTTTGTATTGTTGCTGGTGGAGTTCCTCACTGCACTTCCACCAGATCCACCATCTTGTTTGTTCTTCCTGCTGCAATTCTCTCTTAACTGGTTTTAGGGTTTCTACATTTCCCCCCCCCCCATTCTGTAAGGTCTCTCACCCCCAATCCCATATTAATGGATAGGATTTACTCTAGTCTCACCCCTACAAAATTTCATCCATTCAGAGACTACCCGAAACCCACTGCTATCACAGTGATTCTAACTCACAGTGGCCCTATAAGACACAGTACAACTGCCCCATAAGGTTTCCAAGGCGTAAATGTGCACAGAAACAGAATGTCACATCTTTCTCCCTTGGAGCAGCTGGTAGGTTCAAACCACAGAACTTTTTGTTAGCAGCTGAGCGTTGTAAGCACCAAGGCTCCTCCATCCAGAGGTTTCCAGAAACAAATGTTTGTGTCACCATAATGCTTAAAATTCTCCCACAGTTCCCCATCACCTCCTAGAAAAAGCCAATCATACAGAATAGACAGGATTTGGGGCCTTGCCCAAAGAGCCTTCCTAAGTGGTACAAATGGTTTGTGCTCGACTACTAACTGAAAGATTGGTGGTTCAAACCCAACTAGCAGTGCTACAGAAGAAAAGCCTGGTGATTTGCTCTCATAGAGATTAAAGTTAAGTAAATTATATGGAGCTCAGTCCTACTCAGTAACACATGGGATCACCATGAGTTGGAATTGACTCCATGCAACAAGTTTGGCCCTTGCCTTAGCCTTCTTGCATGCCACTCCTCTTACGAGCCTTTTAGATAAGCCTGATCCAGTCACTGTGATCCCAATCCTGATACCTGTTATCCATTTTTCTACTCCAGAATAAATGTGGCACTGTAGGATAAAGCACTGAACCACAAGGTCAGTTTGAACCACAAGGTTGGTGGTTCAAACTCACCAGCCACTCCTTGGAAACCTTATACAGGGTTGCTTTGAGTCAGAACTGACTCTATGACACTTAACAACAATAACAGGATGAGCACTGGACTGCTAACTACAAGGTTGGTGGTTCAAGTCCACCAGCCATGAGCCTTGGAAATCCTATACAGACAGGATCACTATGAATCAGAACCAGCTCAAAGGCACTTACAACAACAACCCTAGCATACGTGGTTCATCTTTCCCTCTCTGGGCCTCCTTGTAGCCTGGGAGTGCCTGTAGAAGAGATTGTTATTAGGTCAGCTTGGCAAGGGGTCCCTGTTACAGAGTTGTTATCGCTAAGTGCCTTAGAGTTGTTTCTGACTCATATAGGGTTTCTGAGACCTTTAAATTTTTGCAGGAGTAGAAAACCTCCCATGGAGGGGCTGGCAGGCTCAAACTGTGGACCTGGTGGTTCACAGTCTAGTGCTTTATGGAGTTACTGCACTCCCCTGCTGCAGAGTAGGGTGTGTTTATTCCCAACTTTTTATTTTGAGACAATTTCAAGCATACAAAAATGATGAGAGAATAATACAGTGAATACCTGAGTACTGTCCACAGTCTTTGTTTGTTATATAAGACTGTGCTTTATAATATGCTCTTCAAAGATTTAAGTAAAAAATAAAAGAATGAGATCTATTATAAAACAGATATCAACTATAACTCAATTTTTCTCATTTCCACTCTAATTCCTTAAAAGAGTTGTCTATATTCTTTCTAGCTTTACTCTGCCTGTTCTTTCTTGAATCTGACAGAGTCTGGCTTTTACCCCAACACTATACAGGAACTGTTCTTATCAACTCACCAAAAAGTCCCTTGTTGCTATATCTAATGTTCGTATCTCTGTAATCATCTTACCTATCAGTCAAACTGGATGCTAGTGGACACCACACTCTTTGGGCCCAAGGAGCTCTGGTGTTGCTCTAGGATAAGCACTGGACTGCCAACCACAAGGCTGTCATTTCAAACCCACTAGCTGTTCAGCAGATGAAGCTTTCTGCTCCTATAAAAATTTACAGAACTGACTTGATGACACTTAATAACAATAATACAATAGGCACTGGACTGCTAACCAAGCCACAAACCTTGGAAACCCTGTACAGGGTCAAGATCACTATGAGTTGGAATCTACTTGACTGCAGTAGGTAGGCAACTACTTCCCTGGTCACTTCTCAACTTTCTTCCCCCCTCTTGTTCCTTGTGATCTCCTATCACTAGATAGCCACAGAATTCTCTCTGAAAGCTCTTTTATATTTGCCATTTGATCCCTTGGTGGCATAATTTGTCTGAGTTAGGTGTTATGGAGTCAACTCATAGTGGTCCTGTGCACAACAGAATGAAACACTGCTCAGTCCTGTGCCACCTATGCCAGATTTCATCTCAACCCTGGGGCTTTCCACTAAAAACCATATTTATACGTGTACCTATCTAATAGGCATCTCAAACTTAGTATGTCCTATCTACAGGGACACTACTGCCACCACCATGACCACACCTACCTCAAGGAGCTCTGGTAGCGTAGTGGGTTATGAGTTGGGCTGCTAACTGCACAATCAGCAGTTGGAAACTACCAGCCATTCTGTGGGAGAAAGATTAGGCTCTCTGCTCCTGTAAAGATTTATAGCCTTGGAAACCCTTTACAGGGTCACTGTGAGTCAAAACTGACTCCACAGCATATCTACTATCACCATACCCACCTCAGTTAAAGGTGAGTCTACTCCAGTTGACGCTGTGTCACTATGAGTCGGAACCAACTTGGTGGCATTAACAACAAAAGTCCAACTGCTAGGCTAAATCATAAATCATCTTTATTTACTCTTACACAAACTTTACATTACCAAATTCTTTGGGCCTTCAGAATAAATCCAGAATTTGATCACTTCTCCCCATATATTCTACTACATCCAAGTGCAAGCTGCATGTCTTTCAGCCTCCTCAAGACTCCTTGCTTACTCTTTGTCCCCTCTAGTCTAATTTTGACTCCTGATGTGGCTCTGTGGGTTAATGCGCAAGGTCAGTTTGGATCGCAAGGCCAGCGGTTTAGCTCACTGGCCACTCCTTGGAAATCCTATACAGGGTCGCTATGGGTCGGAACCGACTCGACGGCATTCAGCAACAAAACAGTCTTTTT